TCGATTGTTTTGGCGGGTCATCAAGTGAGTCGATACGTTTTGTAGGGGTGTGTATTTGCAATTAAAAAATTAAAAAATTAAAAAAAATAATTAAAAATTACTGTTGAGAGCACGTAAATCACGAATACTATATACTATTACTATCAACTATTTCTGACCAGGTTTTGTTTATTGCACTGAGATCCCTTTCACCGGGTGTACTGGAAACAGGAATTGATAAAAAATATGAACATAATATTGATGGTTTTGAGAAATGACCTTGATGAATTCTCCGCATTCTAAAATGGTTAAATTCAATTTCTTTTATTACTGACTAAAATCCGTTAAACCAACATTAAAAAAAAAAATTTTGATAGGTCTTACATAAACTTCATCATTATTTTGAAGGAATTAATCTTTTCAGGTTGCAAGTCTATTCAAACATGCGCCCATACTAACGCTGTCATTAATTCTAATGCTAATATCCGTATTCAAACCCGTATCAAAATCTTACTATTACCTAATAAAAATATACTACAGCAGTCTAAACCAATACCGCAATCCCAGATATGATCTGGTTAAGCCTGCTAAAATTTTTACCTTAGGTAAATAATATACTGTATATATATATATATATATTTATATGAAATTGCCAAAATCAATTATTTTATCAAAAATCTATATAAGAATTATTTATTATCATGGATACTATTTTACCAAGTCTGTTTCTTTTCTTTGTAAATGCATTTCCAGCTGATGAAAACAACTTCTCGGTTGGTTGGTATTGAGCTTGCACAGCAAGGTTTGGTAAAACTACCTTTATTTGATTCCACAAGTGAATCTTCTTCCAATAAAACCTTTTGTAATGTTGAATAAAAATCTATCTCTGAATTGTCGATTATTTGGTATCAAAAAGACTTTTTTGCCTTTTATTTGATTATCAACGATAAGGTTGACTTCTGAGAAGTTTCCTCTACACTTCTACTAATAATACTACTATTATTAATATTACTATCGTTATTATTGTTGTCTCCTACTCTGCTACGAGTATTATAAACAAATTAGCGGTGGATTTTCTTTTGG